AAAATCAACGTAACCAACACTTTACCGTATGTAATCGCAATTAGTAATTACACTGTTTTATGATTCATTATTGGTATATACGCTATCCGCCAATTTATGAAGCTGACATGAAAGTAATGTTTGGTTTCAAAAAGTTTATAGCATCCTAATCTTACATTCGTATTTGACCTAATATATATATATATATATATATATATATATATTCACCCTTGACCTTCTGTGAATGGCTGATGGATTATATAAGATTACTGCGATAATACTTTTGTGACGTCAAAGACGCATATCATTATGATTTACACAATATATTATTAATCACCCCGAGTGTATAGGTCAAAGTGTCGTGCAGTAACTGGTATGCTAATTACACTTCGCGCCTAGTATGTCCCTGTCAGTGTCGAATGAGTGTTGTTGACCCTGTGTCTAATTCTCTTAATGCTCTTGGTGTCTAGACGAATGTGACAGGAATTAAAATAAGGACTTGGTTTGGTATTATGTTAACAAAAGGTTCGGTTGAAACAAGTTACTACAGCATTTTGGTATATAGAATGTCGCTTTACGAAATTGCAATCAGAATTCCATATACATAAATTACCAATATGGCAAAACTAATCTTTCACACGAACGATTCATTTATTTACAAACTATTCAACTGTTTGCTGTATACTCAGTGTACAACACCACACCTTGTACTGAACTACATGTACTGAATTTAGAACACTAATGCACCCACCTTGATAGTAAACTGTCACCATTGAACCATATTCATTCCATAATCCATGTGGTATTACCGTATCATACAGTGATTGATTCTGTGTAACATACTTATCCAACAGTCGAACAAGTTTAAACACTGTCGACTAAAAGTTTGGAGGTGTTTACCGCCAAAAAAGATCACGTGAGTCACAGCAAACTGTAAAACGAGATCAACACACTGGATAAGCTTAAATGGCTAAGGGTCAACTGTCGCGTCGGTCAAGCATTGTGGTTGCCTAGCGCATATACAATAACGCCTTCTTATAAGCGTAAAATTTATAGTTTCCATATATTGTTAACCCAATCCTTAGAAATCCTCACCACTGCCTTTAATCGGTGACCTGGACTGGTGGAGTTAACGGGGAAACATGGTTGTCGAATGACAGATTTTAATTTCCCCTCTTGCCCGGAATGTGTTTTGTATGTTGGCTGTTAAAACAAAGAACACACGTCCAACATACGAGTATATATGGTCAATGATACCAGGTTCTATAGTGTAAACGGTCGAAAACATCAAGATGATCAGTGAAATCAGTACGCATCAAAGTGGTGGGTTGCTGGATCAAATACTCCTGCACGTGGAATCAAATAGATTAGTCCCATAGCCGTGGTTGTAGCTGTTGTCTCTTTCAATAATGCACCAAATCAGGTTAAAATGAATTCGACTGGATATAGTAGACATGCATGTGCATGTAATTAATCACATGGCTTTGAACATAACTTGAACTTTATCCGTGTAGTGTCAATTATGTGTATAACACTTGTTATAGTTTTTTTTTCTATTTTTAAATTGATCTTATTCTATAATTTGTTTTTTTATTTTAGTTATTTTCTATAGTAATATACGTATTGGATCGTTAAACTATGCCTGGGTATTCTAAGCAGATGTTTCTCCATCCATTGGATGATAACTATATATGTGGATACTGTGAACTCGTCTTAAGAAATCCACTTCAGACATATTGTGGGCACCGATATTGTAGGACTTGCATGGATACCATGAGGTACATATTGCACTAGTGTTGAACAGTATTTTCTCTTATTACTAACATATATGCAAACATAACATAACTAGAATTGACTTTTAGATTATTTATTTTGTCGGTATTTTATGATGAAATATAATATACAGACGGATGCATTTCTGACAAAGCAGGATATTTATATTGTAACCTGCCAGTATCTATATTTGAACATTTTATTAAGTCATTGCTCAGCTCTATATTACTCTACTGTGCCATAACCTGCATAACACTTTAAAGGTTAAAATCATTTAACAAAATCATGTTGCAAAAGATGTAATACACACCAATACTGACTACACTTTGAATATGTGATGTTCACTGTTCACATTGTTGTGATATATAGTGTATCCTGTTATATCATAAAGATATTTTGAATTAGCCTTGGGTACATTATATCCTTACTTGTCTTTCAGGTCATCTGGGAAAATAATGTGTTGTAGCTGAAAGAAAGAAGGTGTACAATCAGATAATGAATCGCTTGAAACGGTAATATATTCTTCAGAATATATAATCTAACCAAAATCACACCATATGTATGTTATTTTGATCTGATCGTGTGACGTAATGAAGCACCTTGTATCTGGTAAATACTAACTTGGCAATTTTAGACACAAATGATTTAGATGTTTGTCGTAAATTCGTTCAAACGTTCACATCTTGCAGCTCTATAGTGACAACGCAGTTAAACGTGAACTCGGACGAATTGATGTAAGATGTATAAAAGAGAAATGCTTATGGTCCGGGCACTTGCAAGATTATGAGGTGAGTCAATATTTGCTCGTATGTTGAACCAGCAGTATTGACATATAGCTCACGGTTTTGCAAACAACTGTTAAACAGTTTTGTAATGGTGAGCAGATATCAATATTACTATTTTGTTAGTAAAATTATGGGTTATACTGCAATACTGCTGGTTGAGTTGCTTTTTCGTTCACTGTTCACGTGTCATTACTATCTAACAGTTATGTTTCTTTTTGTTTATTTGTTTGTCACTATGATGTCAGTTGTAAGTATTTCTATGTGTTCAATGTGTCATTCTTTGTGTTACAGAACCACTTCAATGATTGCCCACAACTCCAATACAACTATCACAGTCAGGAAATCGACATGGTAAATATGTGTCATATATGTCGTCATTTTAAAACATATTTTACGTCATGTTGTTCAGGCCAGGATAATGGGCGACTGTAAACACTAGTCCAGATGTGTACGAATAGGCGATTCCAACAAATCGCGATTTCACAAAATTGAAAGCAAAACCTAAAATGTCAACAGCCATGTTATCAAAGAGTGCACTTATTATTAATTATTCTAGCTGTACTTTTCGCCAACCGGAGATTAACAAAAAAAATACTAGGGAACCACTTATCCTGAAATTTGGATAAATGTCACTTTAGCTCATTGCTGATCTGTTGAGATATCATTAGGACCACCACATTACATCGCTGGCTGGCTATATCAACTAATTTGCAAATGAATACAAACTTAGGTCAAATATGATAGCGATCTTTGTTTCTAGCCTATCGCATCACAGTACCTTCCTTGTAAAATCTACAATACTGTAGTATGTGGTTATTACAGGAATGATTACCCCAGGAAAAACGATTAAAATGAAATGCCTGCTACTTACTCTCCTAAAATCATTTATTGGTACGCCAATATTACTAATTGTTATGTTTCTAAGCATAAAATATTTTTTTTAAAGTGAAAAACTTTCTTGTACATTTGTTACGTCTTTGACTAAATTGTCACTCATGTACTGTTCATCGAGAAAGAGTGGGCCATAATGAACACATAATATCAAGTTTATTGCATAGGGTTAAGTTAGATGCGAAATATGTTCTTTCTGGCGTAGCTGTTCACCGTGAACGTCGCCGTCATAATTACAACATCATATTAAAATTATTTGATCGCAACACATTGACAGACCAAACCCGATCCTAATTTTATAAATTATAAACACAGATCGAGCTTCAAAAAAATCACAGGAATGTGAATTCGACAGTCAACACCAATCACTAAACAATTCAGAAACAATTAGCAGCGTGTAATTGCTGCGTAATATTCAGGATCGCAAAAATGCCAAATGGACACTGGATATGACGGTGTAAGAATAATGCCCATCCCAATGTTTTCTCTTTGCTTTCACGACACTCATGTCGCACCTTTGAATTGATTGGAAACGTGTTATACGTATTGTACCCGCTCATAGACTGGCCCAGCTGTGGTGATTTAAAAAAAATGGAACAAATAGTTTTGCGAAAGGTGGGGTGAACGCGAAACCACCACAGACTGGTATTATTTGCAACTAATCAATTGCTATTATTTATTCATGATATGCAGTGACATCACTGAACGGAAACAGAAAAGGAGTGGGGCGTGCGCGCTGCATAATGAGGGAAACATTGTGGGTCGCGTTAAAGGTCAACTTGTCGACAGTGCCAAACCGTTTTCATCTAGACAGAACGGAGCAACCTCAAATGCAATCGATTTGCCGCTTCCGGTCGGAAAGGCAACAAAAACAACAATTATTGTCTTCTGTGCAGATCTGTGTAACCCAGGCAAGATAAAGCTACACGCAGGCTAATTCTCTCCATTAGAATAATTTGTATAGAACGTTAGTATATATACTATTTCGTTTGTTATGATTGACGATCGAGAGACTTGAGGAAAAGTGAAGTGAATATCTCAAATTTACTTGGATACGAGTAATAATTTTCGACAAAAACATCAATAACTGTTCATTTCAGTGTAACACAAATCTAAAATGGAAAACGTGTATGTGGGCATG